AGCCTGGGCAACAGAGCAAGACCCCATCCCTTAAAAAAATGATTACAACATCTATACCGTAATATATATACCATGATATACGGTAACTGACACTCTACCTCTCTTTCATTATTGTGAACTCAGCTTTCAGGCTATTGGGGGCAGATAGAGTTTCAGGGCAGTGGCTGAGGTGATTTCCAGCATCTCATTTTACATAGATATCTTAAAAACAGGTTTAAAAATGCAGAAGGCAGTGGGAGTATGTGGGGAAAGCAGGTAAAAAATAAGAATGATGATTCATTTTTTTCTTCATCACCAATATATCTCCTGACCTTTTGGTCATAAACCACTTAAGAATTTGATTTACCAAATTCACCAAAAAAGGTAAAAAGAAAACTTGAATTTCACTTTGTCTTAGAGAAGTACTTGGTTACTGTAATCATCAATTTGTTGCTGACCTTGCATCATGTATAATTATTTCTAAATTTCTTGATTTTTGGCATTATTTCCTATATTATATTATCTTCTTCTTTATTATTGACAAATAGTTTTTCTCCAACTGGAGTTGGAATGAAGCAGTGATTTAGGATGGTAGAAATGCAAACCATTGTAGAATGATTGAGGACTGGTTCTTTATGTCTAAGGCTTAATTGGTATCTCTAATTACTAATTACTAAACTTTTCATTATTCATGTGTGGCATATGCCTGGTTAAATGCTTGAACCTTGTGTTTCTCGGTCACCCCCAGTCTGCTCTGCAGGCACGTTCTCATGCTCAATACTTACTCAGGGAAATCCAGCTAATTTTAATACCAATCTAAGCACAAAATCTCACTAGGAAGGTATATCTCCTGCCAAAAGAAGGAATATAATGTATTCCAAAAGCAAATATGGAAGTTTAAAAATTATTTGCTGTTTTAGATTATTGCCTTAAAACAGGTTACTAAGAACTAAATTTGAAGTACTGGGTGCTAATAGGTTGAGACATATGAAATTGCCATTTCTGTAGGTCAATAATGATAAATTATTACATGTTAATATATCTCAACCTAAATAATATAGGATACTTTCTGATTCTTGATTTTTCTCCTAATGCCCTCAATTTTTGTCATTTTTAGTATCAAAACGTAAATGTTCACTACAAAGGCCATCTGCATGGTGCTGTGAGCTGTGCAGTTGTGTCAGACGACTTGGAAGTGACAAAATATGCTCTACTGTCTTGGACTTCCTGACTTCATATCACCTGTTTTCTGGTCACAGTGCCTTTTGTTTCTTTGTCTGCTGGATGAACGGCTACTCATCTTTTCAGGTGTTGCTCACATATCATATCATCTATCTAACTTTTCTCAGAATCCCCAAGGAGAATTATACATCTTTTCCTTTGGGGCTAATCTGCTCCCTGTGGGTGTCTATCTCAGTTCCTACAGCAGTATTACATTGTTTGTTTACAAGTTTATCTTCTCCAACAGACAGTAAGTTATAGAAGAGATTGTGTTATTTATCTTGTTATTTCTCATTCAGTCCCTAGCACACAGGAGCTAAATTCATGTCTGAGGAAGAGGAAATAGAAAGGCAGTAAAGAAAAAGAATTTATGTGAGATCATAGAAATCTATTGTAATATCTTACTATTGTGTCATTTTCTATGAGACTTCAAAGTTTGGAGAACTGACAATCAAGTTTCTTCCTGACTTACTGAAGTAAGAAGAGAATTCATAATACTTCTGACTTTATTCCTCTCCTTTACAAATCGAGGCAGGATTTAAGAGAATTAGTTATTTTCTGTAAGAGAGGGAGAATCCTTGGCAGCCCACTGGGAAGTAAAGGCCACTTGGCATGAATCCAGTTTACTCACTAGAAGCCAATATCCAGCTTATATCCACTGCTTCCATTCAACATGGAAACTAAAGGATGGTAGCAATAAAGCTGCTAAAAAAATAGTAGTAAAAATAGTAATTTTAGAACAGTAAACCTCAAACTAAACCCAGGACCAGGAAGTCAAGAAAAGCAGAAAGATACATCTGGGTAGAGTACACCCCAAACCAAATGGCACTCTGTGATCTATATTTCTCTTCTCTGTCTGCTGTTTTTTTCCTCCCTTCCCTTCCCTCCCCTCCCCTCCCCTCCCCTCCCCTTCCCTTCCCTTTTCTTTTATTTTCTTTTCTTTGAGATAGGGTCTCTGTCTGTTGTCCAGGCTGGAGTGTAGTAGCGTGATCTTCACTCAATGCAAACACTGCCTCCTGGTTCAAGTGATTCTCCTGCCTCAGCCTACAGAGTGGCTGGGACTACAGGTGTGCACCAACACCCTTGGCTAATTTCTGTATTTTCAGCAGAGATTGAGTTTCACCACATTGGCCAGGCTGGTTTTCAATTCCTGGCTTCAAGTGATTCCCCGACCTTGGCCTCTCAAAGTGCTGAGATTACGGGCATGAGCCAATGCACCTGGCCTGTGTTTGCTATTTTTCTATCCTTGAACCATTTTTGCCCCGTATTTATGTGACAGTACAAGGATTGCCCACAGAGGCTACTAAACCAGAGAGGCTGCACTCTATTTTCCTTTGGGTCAATGGCATGATACAGATCTTTGTGGACATTTAAGAGTGCACAAAAGGAGTCCCTAGACTTGACCATTATAGCTACCTTTCCCTTAAGCTATCTCTATTATAATACTAAAGATGCACATTACAGTTAGTTATTCGGCTGTCTCTAACATGATTGTTAGCACCTACCTAGACTTGAGAGCTTTGCATTTCCTCCAGCACCAAGGACAGTTCCCAGCAGGCCACAGGAGTTCCATCAATATTCATTAAATTGATGAGAACTATTGGTATGGAATTGATGGAATGTTCTCTAAATGAAGCAAAGGGCATTCCTCAATCTTCTCTATGTATTTTCCTTCTCATTTTGAAAAGGCTAATTTTGTTGTTGTAGAGAAATTGAAATTATGAAAATTACATTTGAGGAAATCCACACAGCTGTTGATTTTTGAGGCTGAACTTTTTCAGCCAACACACTAGATTAATTGTGGAATCTCCTGTTTTCAAAAAATAAGTTGAGGATCTTAGGCTGACAAACGAAGCTCAATAAAACATAAGCATATGGGAACCTATTAAGTTTGTTCAGAACATAGCATTATCCAAAACTGCTGGTGGGATGCCTTTATTTTTAATAGCCTTAGAAGAAAGATAAACTGTTAAACAAATATTGACTACGTGTTCTGTCTGATTCTCAAAGAAAATGAAATGGGTAATAGAAGCTCAGGGTGTCATGATTTTAAGAGACTCGCCAGTTGGATAAAAACATTTAGTATCACATACTCAGAGCACAAAAATTAAAAAGTGATTTCTCTTGATTTTTTTATGGATAAGAAGGGGTAAACAAAATTAAAAAAAGGAAACCATATTTTCCGTTAAACATTTCTAGGACTGGAATAGAAAAGAGGCATAAAATACTTGACTAAAGTTAGTCATCTTTTAATTTAGCATGATTTCTCTTTAAAAATCCCTATTTTGCGCATTTAAAAATATGTATAGTTTAAGCAAGCAGCTAATTTTATTATTTCCAAACTATTTTACACAGTGCCATATACTACAAAGTACATGGGTGCTAGAAGACATGTTCCTTGCATCAGTCACTAACTGGCAATGTCTTACACTATTTGCTAATTTTTGTGCTCCAGTGTCATTAACTCAGTAAATATGTGTGTTTTCTTACATTAAACAATACGTCCTTCAGTCTGCTGTTAACTTTGAGAGGAACTAAATGAGATTGTTGGTATACATATGTTGAGCATGATCAGTTACTTGAATTGTTTGGGCTTGCAAATTTAAAGCTGTAAGAGAAGTACCTTGGTATTCCTATAATAGCAGGAAAATGCCAGTATAATCTAGTTTATAGAGCCCAGACCAATGCTTAGGGTTTGCTGGAGGTTTAAATGTCAAAATATTTGAGCATTAAAAAAGCCTGTCAGGTAAGAAACTTCAAAACCTGTCAAAACTATACAGCTAATGGCTCTCTAGTAAAACATGTCCCTGAGCACAAAGTGAAGGCAAGAAAGCTGAAGGATGTTTCTACTGGGACACAAGCAGCAGTTATAAACAACATCTACCACATAGTATACAATTGGTCAAATAGTACTTGGTCTTTCTTATGAAATAAATGTTTTGTTCCATACCTACCAAATTCGTAAGTTGAAATCCTAACTTCTGATGTGATGGTATTAGGGGGTAGGGCCTTTGAGAGATAACTAAGTCATGAACAAGATAGAGCCCTCATGAGTAGGATTAGTGCCCTTATAAAAGGGACCCCAGAGAGCTCCTTAGCCCTCCTTCCACCATGTGAGAATACAAGGAGTTAGTCTGTTGTCTGCAACCCAGTAGGGGGCTCTTATCAGAACCTGACCATGTTGGCTCTCTGATCTCAGATTTCCAGTCTCTAGAGCTGTGAGAAATAAATTTCTATTGTTTTAAAGCCACTCAATCTATGGTCTTTGTTACAGCACCCCAGAGTGTCTAATGTGCCCATGATTTGGACATTTTAGACATCTACATATTAATTTAATATAGTGAGAGTTAACTCCTGTTACCAAGGAGGCCATGAATCATGAGAATAAGCTAAAGCTATTCACACCTGCACTGGACATTTATCTTATACCTACATTATGTCAAGCATTTTAGAGTATTTATAAAAAAAGGACACATGTCTTTTTGGACCAGATATATTGCAAATATGCCATCACTACCACTTTGGCATAATGAAGTTACAGGTATTGAAACAACCCTGCCAAATCTCTAAAGAGAAGATTTTTAGGCAGCTAAGAACCTAGAAAAATGAGCAACAGTTAGAGACCTAACAAGATTACAAATAAATGGATATCTAAGTTGAAGAAGAATGAGGAATGTGTAGAAACCAGCCAAAGATCTAAAGCCAGGGAACTGAAAGATCAAGCCATTCTTCTCCAAAGGGAAAAAGAAAAAAAAAAAAAAAAAAAAAGTAGAGTTGAAAGGTTAAACAAAAACAGAAAAATAGGTTTTCCAAAGAAAGTTAAATATATATATGGCAAGAGAAAGCAAAGAATGATAAGGAAAGGTAGGTATGCCTTAAATAATTTCCGTTGGTGCCAATGAAATCTCTAAAGTCAATTTCTGATCAGTGTATATTATATAAACAAACATGCAAAGGTATATTGAGGAAAACTGGTTTAATATACACATGTCAGTTTGGGGAAGTATATCAGATCTACTTAAAGTGCTTTTTTTGGAAAACATGTCCTTCTCACCTGATTGCTGCTGGAGGAGAGAACAAGATCTGGAAGGGAGGGGGTTTTAATGTTGAAAAGTCTCTGATGATTCTGATTTACTTCCTTGAGTTTAGATCCACATGTTTAGTTGGTGATTCACTGAGCTTCTGCAAAGGTCAGAGCACATGTTCCACAGAAAAACTCACCTCTGAAAGACTCTCCCACTCCTGTAGTGGGAGGTGTTACCTAATTGGGAAGGTTCTCATCTATATATCACACTTATTTGGGATTGCTGTCGGCCTCATAGTCAAAGGAATCCTGGGAATGACGGATGATACAGGAAGAGAGGAAGGGAGGTTAGTTCCAATATTTTGACAGATGAAAACAGGTATTTTTCCAGGTGGGGAGCCAAAAATCACAAAGATCTTGGTGTATTCCAGAAGAGAATGTCCTAATCTCTGCATAGATTTCTTTTCTTTTTACTACAGAATGGCCTTAAATGACCAGGTAAAGTGGAGGATGAGAGTTCAGAAAGGCTTTCTTGCCTTCAGAGAAAAGGGCAAGAGAGAGGGGAAAGGCTGAGAACTGTCTGTATTTCAGGATCCAGGTCAAGGGGCCAACGAGAAATAAGAAGGCCACTCTTGGTATTGTTTCTTATATCCTATTGCCAAAGGCTCCCATAGAAAGAACTGGGCTGTAAGGGCCTGTGAAGGAGGATTAGGTGGTGAGTAACATCTCCATATAGTCAGTATATTTTAAACCTGGAAAGCATGGCGGGAGACACGGGGAAGAGCCAGACTTGACCACTGTCTAAGAAACCCTGCTAGGAGTTTCAGCCCTACAGGTAACTCCTTTTTGCAATGTCAGCACTACAGGACAAAGGTGGGAAAGAGGAAAGCACATAAACCCCAGATTCCTGCACTCAGAGATTCAGAGGGCGGACTCACTGTAGCCTTTTAGGTGTTAGAGGGAAGGCCAGGGGTGCCTGAAACCCCTGCCCACTTTCTGGCTGCCCAGGGCCAAGGAGGGCCTGGTTATAGGCCCAACTCAACAAACTTTTCCCCCATGCATCCTTTTACCACACCACACCCAGGCATCACAGAAAAATGACCCAATTACTCAGCCTCCTACCTTAATTGTGGGACACACAGTGACTAAGTGTTCCCAATTGCCTATTTCTTCCTGCCCCAGCTTTGCCTTGACCAAACATGAGTCAGGCTTCTCTCCAGCAGGTCCCTGGACTTTAGCTTGCCCCTCAAATCTGAGCAAGAACTAAAATGTGAAACATTCACCGTTGTTAGCTTATCTTCCAAATTCTTGGACCACAGAGACACATTTCTTGTTCAACCATGAGGGTCTTGAAGCGAGTTTTTCTCCCATCTACTTGGCTTTTCCTGTTGCGTGCTCCCTTTATATATACAGGGGGAAAAAAAAAAGCCGATTTCTGTTTGGTTTTGAGAGGCTTGCAGATTTCTGAGATCAGAGCGTTTTCCCTGTTTCAATAGTCTTTCTTTCTAATGAAAGTCTCCCTATCTTATCTAAGTTCGGATTCGTTTCTGTTTGACGTTAATGTGTAGCTAAGAGTGATCCCAGGTGAGTCTGAGCCACCTTGGTGGGGAATGAAGCCTGGAGCATCGGAGCATTTGTCTTTTTCTGAGAAAAGGCAAGGAAGCCTGAAATGCACAGCTCTCCCTTGAACTTCAACTTACTAAAGGGGAATGAATTTCTAAAGGAGGAGGTTCCAGTCTAGGGCTGTAGGGGCCTCTGGGCAAAGGAAGTGCTGGTTGAAAAACACCATTGTGATCACTTCTAGCGGCGAAGGGTGTGCTTGGGAACGGTTCGGGGAGGGGACAGAAGAGAGAGGGTGGGGATGGACGGCAGCAGAAGTAGGAGGTACACGAGGAGTTACTGGTAACGGCGCTTCAGTGGAGGAGCCGGGGGGGATGGGAAGTAGGGGGAGGGGGGCCCTGTTGCCTCAGCGCCCAGAGGTCGTGGAGCGGCAGCAGGGGCGGCCGGAGCAGCAGCAACAACAGCAACAGCGAGCGGGACGGAGTTAGGACCGCTCGGAGCGCACAGGTCTTGAGGTAGTATAAGGTTTGCTATCCTTCCACTTGCTGGCAGTTGCAGAAGAAGATCTGCTTTTTAAGTGAAACGTACATGCCACCCCTCCAAGGGCTGCGGCTTCCCCGGGCTTGCTTCTTTGCCGCTCCCCTTTCCGGCTCTAGCGCTCACTCTTTAATTGGCACTGGCCCCTAAGTTTGCCAGGAGCTCGCTGCCCGCTCGGAGCAGGGTCCCGGCCGGACGCCGCGGGCGGGGGCGGGGAGCCCGGGAGCCGCAATCCAGAAGCGTCGTGGGCCATGTATATTTCATCAAACGGACTTTGGGTGCGTCGCGTCTCGCAGCCATCAGCGCTATGTGCAGTGACATTTCTGACTTGAGTGGAGGAATGCGCGAAGGAAGCCCGGGCGAAATTGGTACTAGAGGATCTTCTTGGCGCCAATGCTAATTGTCCTGATTTATGCCCCTTCTGACTAAGCTCAACGTCTTCATCTGAAATAAAATGAAAGCGGTGCCAAGCGGCATAGAACCGCCTGGCCGCTGGTTCTGATCCCCGGGAACTAGAAAATCGTCCTGCGGCTTGAAAAAAAAAAAAAAAAGGAAAAAAAAAAAGAAAAAAAGAAATAGAAATAGAAAAAAGAAAAAATATCCCTCAGTAAAAGTTTAAGGCGAGAAGTGTCAGAAGCAGCGGCGCGAGGAGGCGCGGAGGAGAGCCGGCGAGCAGCGGACTGGGCTGGCACGACCTCCGAAGGCTGCAATCTCATTATTAATATCACTATATTTTTGGAGGGAGAGGCACCTTTCTCATCCTCTCTTCCTCTCCGCCCACCCTTACTCCCTCCCCCTCATCTACCTGTCAAAGTCACTGATCTTTTGCATTTCGGAAGAGGACGTCAACGGGAAGGAATTCCCCCTCTGGGTGCCGGCTCCAAGAGGGGGCGACGTGCAGGAGTCTCCCCCGGGGGTGGAGGCGAAGGTAATTAAGCGGCGGGGAGTGGCGGGCCGGCGCTGGGTTCTCGGTCCTCGGGGTTCTCTCCCGCCGGCGGCCGGGCGCGATCGGGATTCCCGGGCTGCGGCGGTGGCGGCAGCTCGGGTCCTTACGCCCACCCCTCCCGCTCCGCCCGCTCCCTCCCCGGGAGGAGGCTCCGCGGGAGCTGCCGCCGCCCGCCCGTGCGCCGCCCGCGGGCTCCGCTGCTGCGGCCGCCGCCCGAGGCGGACCAGGCTGGCTGGGCAGGGCAGGGCCGCCGCCCCGCGCCGTCGGCTCGGCTCCCGCCCGGCGCAAGGGCAAACGAGCCACACGGTAAGTGTCCGCTGCTCGCCTCTCCTCCTGCGACCCGCGCCTCTCGCCCGTGCCCCTCTCCCCCGGGTTTCCCCATCCCCCTCCGCCCCCCCCCCCCACCCGCTGCGATCCACAGGCGGGAGGGAAGGCTCCGGGTGGGCGAGGAACTTTGTAAAGCGCCCCGAGGAGGCAGCGCGCGGAGCCCTGCGCGCACACACACCGGCACACGCTCACACCCACACACAACTCTTCCCCGGGGTGCGCCCCGGGCGGGTGGTGCGTCCGCCTGTTATGTCCCGAGGCCAGGCGCAGGGTCTGAGCCTCCTTCCGCGTACTGACAGGCGCCCGGCGCTCTCCCTCTCTCACGCACACCTGGCCACACACATAGCACAGGAGGGTTGTCGTTATTTTTTCTTTCTTTCGCCAATTATATTTGTTTGGGGAAAAGCAAAACAAAAAAAAACAAAAACAAAAACAAAAAAAAAGCACTTGCCCTATTGCCCGCCTTGAGCATCTGGTGGCCACACCGAGAGCTTTTGAAGTCCCTTCTTTCAATCTCCTTTATTGGTGCGAGATTAAAGCATTACTATCCCATGTTGTGCAGCTGGGGAGAAAGGGAAATTGAAAGAGGGAGACTTGGTGTAGGGATGCTGTTTGGAATATTCTCTCATATTCTTTACTGGCATCATATTAATCGGTTGATGGATTCGGCTAGGGACATTGAATTGCTCTCCTGTATGGATCTGTGGATATCTATATATAATACAAATAATACCGAATATTATTGGGCCTAAAATAACCAATTAAGTGATTCATACAAGGAAAAACTTAGATATAAAAAGAAACTGCGCCCTCTGCTGTTAATTTTAGTACCCTCACCCGGGGACTTTTTTTTTTTTTCCTTCAGAAATCCACTTAAGAGTAGGCTGTCATCTTACAGGGCAAGGGAAGAAAATTCCTAGCGGGGATTTTAAAGCAACTTTACTTGGAAAAGTCGCAGGTTGAGCTCCTATAGTTGCATCAGGTACAGATTTCCAGTGAGTAGAGGGTCCTCCTCTCTCCCCTCTTCTTTTTATACAGGGAATAATGGAGCCACTCCTTCTCATAAGAAATTGTCAGTCTTTGGAATGGAAAATTCTGAGTAAGATTCAGAACTCCACTAAACATATGGTGAATCTGGCAGTAGATTTGCTCTAGAAATAAGGCCCTGTTTTATGACTGAAAATACTAAAAGTTGTTTTATCTTACAGAAGTGAAAAGAAAAAAAACCCAGAAAGATCTTCCATTAAAGTCATTTATTCAGATATGCTTAATAGTTAAGCTTGTTGGAAAGTTTTACAAAAAAATTTTTTTTTCAGGGGAGGCTTTTCCGTTTTGTTTGTACCTTGAGGAGGATCTCTAGTGAGGGAATTAGCAATTCCACATTTCATTAAGTATTTTGGACTGTGTCACTTTGAATGCCTTACCCGCTTCCCTTTCTCTTTGGCAAAGGAAAAGCAGCTCAGTAACTCTCCAAGATTCTTTTTGAAGATAAGCAACTTTCAGTTTTTCATTAAGATAGAATTTGGATCTCTGCATGTGGTTCAACATGCAAGGAAAATGTGCATCTAGTATTTCACATGTAATGTTGTTCCAGGGATATATTTTCTTTTCTGGATGCCATGAAATGAGATACATTTCACCACTGAAGACCACCATGAAGGCATTCAGGATTCTATGTACTGAAATATTAATTTGGCGATATTTCCTATTGTGGAATTTAAGAGGGATAATCTTAAAACTTTTGTATGGAAACAGTTTATTTGAACATGAAGCTGGTTTCCTATTAGTATTTTTGTTTTGTCAGCTTTCACTGGGTGTATGTGTTAAAATGATTCAGGTTAGCCTTTTTAGGAGGAGGCAAATGTATTTTGCAGTTTCCTTTTGTATATTTGCAAGTGGTGCAAATACCTGTCTTTGCTTCCATTATTATTCTGAAACATATCAGGTAATTTGTTTAAAAAGTTAAATCATTACACATTTATTTGATAGGTTTTCTAAGTGTCATAAAAATTTGGAGAGTTTTAGTTACAAAGGCATCAAGTCACTTGGAAAAAAGAAAATTGGATTCAACTTTGAAAACCAATTATATGTTAACATTGAAATATATGTGTGTGAATTATATTGCGTAAGAGCAGATTATATGAGTAAAGTCTTAGGTTAGTATGAGATTTGGCATACTTTAAAAAAAAAATTTTATTTGCAGAATCCAAAGTTCTGTTTCAAAACTTCAGGTGGGTGTAGATTTTCTCATATATACATCTGAGACCTTAGATCTCTGAACTTCCCTGCATTAGAATTAAATATTTGTTTTTCATGTGGTAATTAAACTCCAGATTTCTTCTAGGCTTAACTGATTGTGAAATAGTTTTGGGTATTATCCCATCCTCAATCATCCTGCAAAACATGTACTATCTAATTTCTCGAATCAGTCTTCTCTCAATGAAAATAGAGATCTTTCAAATACCAAGGTGTGTTATTTAGGTTTATTAAGAATCTCATGATAGACAGTTGCTCATAATACCCAATCAAGTGTGAGTAAGCTATGCCAATGATGTTGCAGTACATGTTAAATTCCTTATATTTTGAGAGACAGTTAACAAAAGGATAGAAGCATATGTTTTCCATTAAGATGACTAGAAAGTGTTTTCTTCAGAACAAATAAGTGCAAAAAGCATTGAATACATGTTAAAATATCTTGTGTAATAAATTTCATGATGACTGCTGGAAGCTGCTAATTTTGATAGGTTATAATTTTGTATATCTTTATCTTTTTATATTTTCACTCAATGATCTATATAGTCCATTTTCCTTTTGTTTCTTCCCATTCAGAAAATGCATATTTATAAAATTCTTAATGTCTATAAGCAATGAGTCAATAGTTATATATTTCAAGTACCCTTGAAAAGCTGAATATTTGTGAAAGAAATAGCCTACTACCACCATTCCCACCTGCTAATGAGATTATATAATAAAATGAATGCTGAAAACCAGCTAGATTAGGAGATTTACTGATAATGTCTTCCTCTCAGTTGATGAAATTGGCAATTGCTTTGGAATATAATTGCATAAAATATTAATCACTATTAATTCCATGTAATACTGTGGGAGGCTTTTTTTCTGATGAGAGAAAGGGCCTGCGAAAATGGCTTCTGCAAAATTAATCCAAGGTGGAAGGGAATTAGCTGCAGAATCCTGGACAAATACATGTTCTATGTGTGCAAAGGCATTTTATAGCCCATTTTAGTCCTGATCAATAATATCTATCAAATTGAGGGCCATGACATAATTTTATCTCTTTTCATTGGTTCTGCAAATTTATAGACCGGAAGTCTATGGGGTACTCACAACCTATTAATGGGTATTTTTTATCAAAGAGGACTTCTCAGTACTTTAGTTCCCAAGTAGAGGTGATAGCATTATTTGATAACAGTGAGTTCCCAAGGTTTGCAAAGTGAAGAGGTAGAACTGGAGCTGCCCAGAGCTCTTCTGAATCTGTTCTTATTTAGGTGATATGGACACCTGAGACAAATTCAAAGGCCACGTCACTTCACAATTAGTTCAGTTATGGGCCAGAAGGGATAGGTTTAGTATGTTAAGTCCCCAAATACATTATTCACTGTCCTTCTCATAATTGGTTTCCCTAGCTATTTGCTGTGATGACCTAGCTTTTAGAAGCTATTGATAATTTTAACCTGTTTGAAAGCACAGCAGATAGACAAAGTGCCATTAAATAGTGGAGGTTAAGGTGTAAATAATATTCTATTTTTACATCATTGCAGTTTCTTCGAAAAATCTGTAATTATACTTTAATAACAAATTCCTGATTTTCAGAGGCTGCTTTTCCATTGTGTGTCATGGAAGTTCATAGATTTAATTTCTTACTAATTTGAAGTTAAGAGGATTTCTTTTGAAGTGTATGTGACACTGAAAAGTAAGAAGACCCTGAAATGCAGGATACATAATGATAGTACAAATATAAAAATTAGAATGAAATCAAATAATTATGTTAAATAACAACTTAGTGTCCCTCTGCTCCTGATCTGTAATATGCCGTGGTCAATATCTTTTTCTGTGTCAATGGGAGCTCATTAAATGTAAACTCTGCAGACTAACTGAGCCATGCCATATTAGTGCTTGCCAAAGCTTGACATTTTTAATACATTAATAATATGTCTGTAATGTAATGGAAAACTATTAATCACAACTGGTTATGTGCCAGAAATTTAAGCTATAATTGGCTGCTTCTTGTCAAGAATGTCTGTTGCACAGTCCTGCAACTGTCTAATATTCAAATATCTTGCACTCCTCTGCATTTTTCCTTGTCAGTCTCTAAATTCGATCAATGGTGTAGTCCATAATTCTGTGTAATGACCATCATTATAATTCTGGTATACTTTAATGAGAATTCGTTATATTGGGATTGCTGTTCTGTCAGGAGATAGCAAAGGGTTCACATACATTTCCTTAGTGTTCAAATGTATGGTCACCCTTTATTTTGTGGTTGCAGTAATGCAAAATGTGGTTGAGGACAGAGTAACCGAGAATAAATGGATGAGGAGAATATCATTTGTTGGTTAAAAAAGAAAGTGAAGACTAATCTCCAGGAAGCACTCAAATATATTTAAAGTGGTATTTTCAAACTAATATTAAAAATAAACACACAATGCTCACTCCATTCAAACTCAAAACAGTCAATTCCAGGTCTTCAAGATTATATCATTCTTGATAAATAAATTATTGTGTATTTGAAACTAAGAATTAAAGTTAATAATTTCTGACCTAGTAGATTTTACACTGCTTCAGTTATAATGCCTACATCCCCCTGCCCCTTGGAAAGTATTTGTTTCCTCTTATAAAAACTAGTAAACACAGTTGAAAAAGTCATCTCAAAAATGTAAATTTGCATCACTTTAACACCTTCTCAGATTATTAATTGTCAAATTGTTGGATGTGTCTGAAAATATCAACTTAAAATTACTAATGAATCTGAAAAAAAGCAGAAGGCTGTAGTAGCCACAACACATGCTTCTCTGATTTTTTTTCTTTTTAGCTTAAGATTTCAAAATGTGCTTTACACAGTATAGTCTCTAGGTTACAAGGAAGAGGCCGATTCAAATCTGTAGTTTATACATGTTTAGACAAACTACTAATTATTGCTTCATAGGAACTCAAATATTCAACACTTTTTCTAATAGCAAATATCACAAATTGCAGCTGTATGATAACATTTTATGAATTGAATATAATGAAAATTGCACTTGCATCCATAAAGCAATTATTATAAATTACTTTGCTATGGAAACACAATTCAACCATCTGTTGGCATTTCATAGTCTCTGTGGCTTAGTTCATTTTAAGATGGTACATTATTTAAATATAATGAATTCCCTTTATAAGATTGTTTGAAGATAGTGAATGTCCATATTTCAACCGTTTAATGTGAATTGAAGGGTCTATAATAGAATTTTCTAAAATTGTAGGCTTTTTTTGTCCTTTTTGCATTGCTTAAAATCAGTTAACTTTTAGACTATAAATATAAATAATCTAATTAAGAAAATATATTTTTTAATACCTGGTTTCCAATTGTTAGCATTTGTTTAGATTTGGATAGTGATCTCTAAACAGAAAAGTGGCCACTTAAACTCACCAATGACTTGTAGCCATAGTTATGTAGGGTGCATTATCAGTTAACCAAAAGTACTTTTACACAGTAATTTTTATTTTCTCTTAGAATTAGTGCCATATTATTCTGCTTCATGGCCTGTTAACTCACCCTCGGCTATTTTTATATGTGCATTTTAAATTGTGCATTTTACTACAGAGCTTTTAGTTTTAAAGCAGCTTATAATATTCGCCTTTGGGACAAATTCTCTTCTGTTACAAAAAGTAATGGCAAATGCACATGTAATGGCTATAAAAAGATGTAAAAATATAGAAAATTCTTATGAAAGGAAATTTTGCTCCTTTGGTTTTATTTTTGAATGTTTTTTAGAGAGCCAAGTTATCTTTATTACTAAATGCAACTAAACAAAATATGCTAAATTCTTCAAATATAATGAGCAAATCCACAGGGACAGGCTTATGCTAACAATGCTGATTTTCACTCCAGCAAACAAAAGCTAAGAAATGTACAAGGAATTTGGAGACTTTTAGGGTCTCTTTGTCAAGAGACAAAAGGGATATAAGTTGTTGTCATATCTTTGTCATCATTATAAAAGCGCTCATTTACCCCATTGTTCTCTTGGAAGATTTTCTAGCACTGCAGTGTATGAGAAATGTTCAAATCTAGCTGCTTGCTCTCAGTTTTGTCAAGATGGAAATGTAATTTTTGAAGTGAAAAGCTGTAACTCACACACACGTGTCTGTCTTTGTTATGAAAGAGTTAAATCCTTCATATCGAAATTCTCCCCAATGTGAATGATTTCCATGGTTTGCTCATTCTAGCAAAATAGCTGAGTAAAGGTTATCCATATTACACCAATTTGCTTTATATTGCATCAGACCTCCAAAATGTCAACATATTGTACATTTCGTAATACATTGATTCTGGGACAATAACTCTTACTCTTATTGTTTCTAAAAGGGTGTTGGTGCCAGAAGAAAAGAATGATTGATGGGAAACAGACACCAGGCTATGGACACTCATCCTTTTGCTTCAGATACTGATATCTCAGCCTGCCTGAGCATCCCTTGTGAGCTGTGAACATTGAGGATCACTCAGGGTTATTGGATATACAACGGGAGAGCCATCACTTTGTTAAATTATTATCGGCAGTTGGACATATTTTACAAAAACCAAACTAGACCTGAGTCTAATAGATATGTTCTAGGACAAAGAAAAAGCTACAAGTTGTTAACGCCTAACACACAAGTATGTTAGGCTTCCACCAAAGTCCTCAATATACCTGAATACGCACAGTATCTTAACTCTTCATTTTCGGTTTTGGGATCTGCTTTGAGGTCCCATCCTCATTTTTTAAAAGAATACACAGACCTACCTACCCATATACATACATACATATATGTACATATATGTAAACTAGACAAAGATCGCAGATCATAAAACAAGCTCTGCTTTAGTTTCCAAGAAGATTACAAAGAATTTAGAGATGTATTTGTCAAGATTCCTGTCGATTCATGCCCTTTGGGTTACAGTGTCCTCAGTGATGCAGCCCTACCCTTTGGTTTGGGGACATTATGATCTGTGTAAGACTCAGATTTACACAGAAGAAGGGAAAGTTTGGGATTACATGGCCTGCCAGCCGGAATCCACGGACATGACAAAATATCTGAAAGTGAAACTCGATCCTCCGGATATTACCTGTGGAGACCCTCCTGAGACATTCTGTGCAATGGTGAGGTAACCCTTTTACATCAAATATTTCATATAAATAGAGTCTAATCGCATATACATACAGATGTGGTGAGTGTGAAGACAATTCATGCAATAAGTTGAATCTGCAGGTGGCAGATTTGTGTTAAAAGGCTAGTTTCTTTCTCAGTGGAGGCTTACCCTGCCTGGAATTACAATTTGCACGCTGTGATTGATGCCCTGGAAGGAACTTACTTTCTGCTTCCCTGAAAACCGATAGTTTCACTGAGGCAGGTATACTATCGCATATATTATAAAAGAAAAAGTCCAGTTGAAGGTTAAATTTTAGATTTGAGGTTAGAAATATGATTAGGTCATATCTGTCATGTTAAGGATAAAATGCATTGGCAAACCAACTTTAAAAACACAAATGTTTCTTCACATATATGTATAAAGCCAGTCCCAAATTCTGTAGTTCAAGGAGAGACTAGATCTCATAATTATCTTCATCAGGAGGCTGCTATGATTTGGGAGTCCTTGGTTAGGAGATCAGCAAGAAAAAAAATAGAGGAGAGAGGGACTAAAGCCTTGTGAGAGGTTTTTCCAGAAAAATCTTATTTACCAACTCCCCTTATTGTCAAGGTCATAGTTTTCTATGTATATTTTAAAGATGACTTTTGGAACATAGAAAACTTATTTGCTAAAAAGCAAGGGCTCAGCATGTATAAATTCAGATACTTTTTTTTGATAAGCAAAGTTACAGAATTCATTGTTCTCATGGCTTATATAAGTCTTTTTTTTTTCTGCATAGAAAGTTAAATACCAGGCCGGGCGCAGTGGCTCATGCCTGTAATCCCAGCACTTTGGGAGGCCGAGGCGGGTGGATCACCTGAGGTCGGGAGTTCGAGACCAGCCTGACCAACATGGAGAAATCCCATCTCTACTAAAAATACAAAATTAGCTGTGCGTGGTGGCACATGCCTATAATCCCAGCTACTAGGGAGGCTGAGGCAGGAGAATTGCTTGAGCCTGGGAGGCGAAGGTTGTGGTGAGCCGAGATCATGCCATTGCACTCCAGCCTGGGCAACAAGAGTGAAACTCTGCCTCAAAAAAAAAAAAAAAGAAAGTTAAATACCATGTGAAAAGGTAATATTAGGGTAACACATTGAATTTTTACAAAAGACATAGCTGACAATATTTCTATAAGTATTAGTAAAGAGGCTGGTGATTAAAATGGTATACATTAGTGTGCTAAAGAGTTAAGATGGTGAGTTTATTTGGTTTATGGTTTTTTTTTTCTTTTTGTTATAGGTGGTTTTTATTTCATACAAGAACTGTGATCCCATTTTTCTCCACATAACAGATATAATTGTATGGCAGATTTTAATAGTAATCTTACCTGACTATATTATCTTGAACCTGGCCTGGCATTTTCAGGATAGTGATACTATTAATCAAAGTAGCATCTGTTCACAGTCCCCAGTGAGTTAAATTAGCATAAGATCATCTTAGACCTAGCAGCATAAAAAAGGTTTTGTAACAGGAAACAATTTTGAGCAATAAAGAGTGTTTTCACCTTAAAGCTAAGGGCTTGCCATTTTTCAGAAGTGCCTTTGGGGACTGGTTTGAATTATAGTCTAAACCTGATTTTGTGGAGAGTGAGAAAAAGCACTTGGCTATTAGGTGTCACTGTGACTAAAGTGCCCTGAAAGACTAAATATTTCAAAGAGAGAACCCATCTCTCTGGGAACAGGTATGTGCTGTGCAAAGAAGTTGCATTTTGGAAAGCAGAGACTTCCAGAGAAGGAGTTTATTCAAACACATTAGCAAAATCATAATAAATCTGTAAAGGAGCAGAGACATTTGTGGAGGCTTTATGTGAGGTCTTTAATAATTTCTCATGAAAGGTCAACTATAAGAGCTCATTATAGATGTGGATTGAAATTGCTGTTTGGGTGATAGGTTGTGTAGTCTTCTACTCCTTATAGCAGAGGATGAGTTCCGGGCCAAGTCTGCATATTACTGAGAACACTCTAGCTCTCTATATTGGTTTACATGACACTTGTAACAACATGTCCCTTCTGGAATTGTTTAATAATTTCCAGATCTAAGTAAAATAGCAAATTTCCTTTCCCAGGGTGCTGTTTTCCCTCTCAGAGGCCTGTGTGAGGTTTTCAAGGTGTGATTTGTGGGTGCGGCTTCCCTGATCTCAGTCTCTGGCCAGAGCATGCTTGTTCAGCACTCTTCCTGTCTGTCATGTTGAAGGGTTTACTTAGTGTCTTTGGCTTGCCTCTTTTTCCCATCATGAGTGCAAAGGGCATGTTACAGATCTTCCCATGTCTGCCTTTCAAAGGGACATGGTCTAAGGTATTTAAACGAGTCAATTCCTCTCAGTCCACTGGCTAAGTGATGTTAGAGACCAAATGGGAAAAAAGAATTAAAATATCCCCCAGCTTTCTCAAGTGCAGTCACGTGTATACTTTGTATGATCACATGAAACCCTGCAGGACAGTCTTTAAAACGCTGCATCTTAGAGTGACGCAGATATTTCGAAGCCCTGGGGGATGTAAACTTGTCATTGGACAGAATGGTTTTCCAAGGGAGAATGTAAGATTTGTGAAATGTTACCTATCAATGCTTAATTTGTATTCCTTAATATGCATATGATTGGCATAACGAATTTAATAATCTATCCTTTAAATATACACTTTGGGACTATTTGTATGCATATTATATACCACGTCAATGGTAATGGCCTAATATAACAACTCTTCCTCTCTGCAGTTTTGGATGTTCCATAAAACTCTTTAGTGTGAGGATTCCTGACACAAGGTTGGGAAACTGTCTCAGGATGCTGTCCTATCAAACCTGTTTAGGTACTCCTTAGCCCAGGGTGTAATGGGGATCCATAAAGTCATTTGTGTTATGACTTATGTGTTCTCCCCTCCTTGACACTTGCATCCATACCTGCTCCCTCAGAGTCATTATGGCCTATTACATCAGGGGAGCTGCCACATGAATACAGCCACCGGTTAAGCCCCTATATGTAAATGTTTGCTTCAAAATTGTTCCAGTAATCACTTGTTCAGCTAGTGACACTCCTATTAGCTGTGGCTATAGCTGTTCTGAGCACCAAGGGAACATGTGCTGAGAGAAATACCTATAATTCCTCAGGCCGATTTTTTTAATATAAAGTTGAAGTTCATTGGCATTGCATTAAGAGTCCGTGTTGCTGCTTTTTTCATTGACTTCATCATTATATGCCAATGATTATCCATTAATGTTGCATTTATTTTAATATAGAGTAAAATTTCGGGAAAAAAAGGAGCATATGGATTCCATTTAACAATAGATCTCTGCTTATTAACCTGGATGGCATAGTTAATAAATCTTCAATGTGAAGTACTTTAAAATTGTTCTATATTAATTGTACCAGTATTTATAAACATTAGTTTTTCAGGAGAGCACTGCCATTTCTATTAATCATAGTGGATAAGGAAGATAAATGTGTGTATGTGTATATATGTGTATGTGTATATATATATATACACATGTACATATACATATATATGCACACATTGTGTATATTTAAAAACATATATTTTCTTTTTAAGTTGATATATTCCTTTTGAGTTGATGATGGCTAAAGACAATCTGTTTTCATCAATGGGGAAGAATCTGAAGGGAAGGTGGGGGTTAACCCTCTTTTTTAGTCTGGGAGAACACATTTGAATAGATCCTATCTTTTCAGCCACATTGAAAGCTTCAGGTGGCAGAGCTTTGTCAGGAAACACAGATCATTTAGTGACTACAATTTGTTTCAATTTGCATAAAGAGCAGAGAGGATGATCTGAACCTGTGTGTAAAGCTGAAGTGACAACACAAAGCTATGACTTTTTCTTTGTGTTTAGACAAAGTTAGCTGTCATATCTTCGCGTACACCCCAGTGGCTTAAAAATGGCAAAATTATCTGCAATTATCTCTAGCCTGCAGCTAATTTTCTGGATAAGTTAAACAGACGCTTTGAAAAGGAGCCTACAGACGGAAGAACTCATGTGCGTTTGTACAATTTATGGTGCAGAAGTGCTGATGACTGTAGAAATGGAAACCCTTGAGTGCTGCTATGGATTTCAGAGCCAATCAAAACTAAATTAGGAAACAAAGATTATTAAAAAGTCTTCTGTGCATGTAATTTTGGCATAATATTATGAGGTGGACATTAAATGTTTCCCTTGGAGACGTTCAGCATCATTAATGCAGCATGCCTTTAATTACAAGTAGACTCATATTACTAAAAAATTGGAGAAAATAAAGTACTCTGAGGTATAGTTAGCAATAACCTCATTATGTTTACTGAAATAATTAAAAGAAAAGGTATAATTTTTCTAAATAAAATGTCAGAATGTGAAATGAAAATGGATTTTCCTTAGGAAATTTACTAATGCGTGCCTGTGCTCTCGATAGGATTTATTTAAGGACCTTAACAGATCTATTAATGATCATTCCATATTGTGCTATTTCTAGATAGACTTCTATTATGAAAAAAAACTTTAATTATTGTAAGCATTGTGGGTAGAGGATATTTCATTATGTTCCAATGGAATTTACAGAAGTGGTAGAAAGTCTTTGTGTTTTGTGGTTTCAAAGGAACCCTGAGAGATGAGTGACTGGTAACTCGTAGTCTCAGGGCTATCTATAACTTCAAGTTCTGATTTACCTTTGGCTCAGGTTGCCATCTGGTGGCTATCAGGTGGCCCTTGAGAAATTAATTTGATAAACTCCGTTACATTTTCCATGACAATTACTATCAATTTTCCAAAAACTGGAAATGACATTGACTTATATAATAATCAAATAATCTTAAAAATACACTCTGTTCACATGAAACATAATTCAGTAAATGAATGAAGTTTTAATAACAGTGACACCTTTCATTTGAACTGACTTTTCCCTTAATTATGCCAAAATGGAATTTTTTAAAACTTTCAGTTCTTTCATTATTAACACTTCATTGTTGTTAGTTCATTATTTAGACTTATTTCT